CAGCTGCATCTGTTGGGTGGGCAGAGCCCAATGGGGAACTCTGAGACTAGTTCCCCATTAATTTGCCTTGCCTGTTGATAGTGGATGGCAGTATGTGGATTGCAAACCCAATATTGGACTGAATAGCAATATGGATCCATCCACTGCTATGTGCTGTCAAAAATTAGTTCAGCAGACCATATGTGATAACCAATGTGTCTCTCAGTTCCACTTCAAGCTCTGCCCACCTCTAGTTTACAACTCCTTGGCCACAAGCCTGTCCCTGTGAAAGGCACAGTGACCGGGGTTGGAAGGCCAGAGTGAGTGCACTGAGGAAGAGTATCCAGTGTGGCTATTCCTTCCCCAGCGCAGACTCGGAAGAATCATGTACAGGTACATTAATTGGGTGCAGGCACCAACACTTTCAGTGCTGCTCCCTGGCAGAGTTCTAAAGGGTGTCCATCACAGTCAGTCTGTTGTCATGGCTCAAAAACTAGCAGTGCTGCCAAACCCAATACTGGAGCTACAGTATTATCTAACATTTGAATAGGCTTTTGAATAGGTGTGATGGATTTAAAAACCTCAAACACTAGTGTATTCCATTTAGCTATGCAGAAACAGCACCTCAACGTACATGTCAGAGAAGAGCTGCATAAGCCATTTACAATGTACCATTCACATATCTCCATGAATAAATGATGCCATACAGAGCAGTTACTGGAAGGAGATTGCCTTGACATGTTGCTTTATTTGGTTTTAATTGACAGAGATGAATTTAGTACAGCTTTGGTTAACTGGCTCAAAACATCATTATTCTCTCATCAGCATCTGTCATGTAGTGTGTGCTTCAAGGGAGGTCTGACTCTCTATCAGCAGCTTTCACATTATCCAATTTTCTTCTTATTTCCAATATTTAGAGCAGACTACATCTGTCGGCAAATAACCATTTAGTTCTTAGTTTGTGAAAGTAGGTAATAAGTATTAATCACCTGGGTCAGAGTCAAGGCTAAATAACATATGAGCCCTCCACCCAAGGTCACTCCCATGTGACATGGGATCACAGCTGTGCAGTCAGCCCTATAAAATTGTAGCAGCCCAGCATCGTTTCTACCTTACAAGCTCCATTCGGGCAATGGAAAGCAATAACTACATAATTATTTCTAGTAATCACAAGCGAGGTTGATAACTGCCATATCTCCATGGAAGACTAACTCTTACATTTATCTGATTAAGCTTATTTTGTTTCTGCAAATGCATTTGTATCCCCATTCTCAGATATAACAGATATTAAGTGAATTTTTCTATGTAGCACCACCCCCAAAGGAGCCGCTTGATTTATTTTTATTTATTTCAGGTACTTATATAGCACCATCAATTTACGCAGCGCTTTACATATATATTGTACATTCACATCAGTCCCTAACCCTCAAGGGGTGTACAATCTAAGGTCCCTAACTCACATTCATACATACACATACTAGGGACAATTTTGACAGGATCCAATTAACCTACCAGCATGTCTTTTGATGATTTGGCGTTCTTCTATATCCTGCACAGTCAGGCAACATGCATTTTCAGACTTCCACTCAGAGTCAGTAACCAGTCCATGAGCTTGTTTTTGTTGTTTTATTACAGGATAAACAACTTGGATAGTGTTTAGGGGTATACGGGATGCCCAACTTGACTTACAGTAATAACTCTCAGGACAAACTTCCTGATTATGTACAAAAAGGTAGATCCTGAACTTTCTACTCCAACTGGAGTGGCACAGCCTCTTAATAAATCAATAGCACAGTCTCTGTAAGGAGCACCTGATCTCCTCTTAGTGAATTCTCTTCAGACCCCAGCTAGAAAGTGCCCATCTACCTGGATGTCTTTTGAAAAAGTACCCTGGAGTAGGAGATTCCAAGACAGGAGTGCAGCACTGTCCCAGGAAGAACTAGTTTTGCACCCAGCAGCCCTCTCTCCTATAGGCCCCAGGGGTGAAAAGGTAGTCACACTGTCCTTGTAATCTGTAGCTCTGGGTAAACAGCATTCAGGCTTCTCACTGAACCAGTTTCCGCCCCACTTGCAGCTTCCTTTCCTCCAGCTTCCAGCTTGGAGGCAGGACCCCCGTTCTCTGGGGTTCCCTCCCAGGCCACACAGCAGCGCCTTCAGTAATCCATCTTCCACCCAACTCCAAACCACTGCTGAAAAGGCTCCTTATATCTAGGGGCAGTCTGCCACACTACCAGAACCTCCAGTCTGAGATTGGTCAGACTCCCATAATTATGCAGATCCAGGTCTCCACCCCTCCGCCCACTAGCTTCTGGAAGCTTCAATAGACCTCCAGGAAGTGAAGGGAAATCTCCCCAATGGGACAAAGGGGGCAAAAATATAACTTACAGGGTTATACCCTCACTTACTCTATCCAAAATGAGAAAAAGTGTTGCCAAAAGTTCTACTTTAAAACTGGGAAGCGATCAAGACACTGTGTGGCATATTGCTGTAAGCTGTCCAGTTAAATTATTGTTTTTTTTACATGAAATATGATTAAAAATGTACAAAATTGCTAAAATAACACCATGTATATGGCCAGCATATGATGATAGATTAGTCTGAGAATTTAAAAGCAGCTGTCTTCAGGGTATACAATGAATTGAACAAAGAAACCTCATTTGCTACATGGAACTGGCCCTTAGTGAACAAGATGCAAATGAGGTCAGGTTATAGCAGGCATTTGCCAGTACATTACATAACAAATAATACCACGATGCAATTCTTCAGTATTGAAACTATATAAACAACTAAATTGTGAACACACAGTAGTCACTGGTCCCTAAGTTGTAACAATGAGTGGAGGCAGCAGACAGCCTGGACACACTATCAGAGCAGCTGCTGACCAGCCAGATGCTGCTCAATAGCATAGCAGAGGTGTGTTGTGAGAGAGAGTTGTGTGTGTGTGTGTGTGGGGGGGGGGGTTTGCAGAATTGTGTGTGTGTTTGTGGGGTCTCCTGTGCAATGTCTGCAGTCTCTGACCGTCTCTTGTAGTATGTCTGCAGTCTCTGACCCTCCCCTGTACGAACGGCTGTAACCTCCAGCAACCAATCACTGAGTGTGGACCAGTTATTTATGTTTATATTATTAAAGTTTTTTTTTAGATAAGTCTATGTGTGTGTCTATTTGTTTTTTGGGCTGTTGGGGTGGAGAGCAAAATTGTATAGAGGAGCCCAAGAAAATCTCAGACTCTGTTTAACCACACCCCCTTTAAGCCACGGCCAACATTTAGCGCAAATTACACCACACCCACTTTTTGACGCTTTACGCGCTGTGATTTTTTTTATCTCCAAGCCACACCCACAATGGATGCCCCACCACTAATTTACATATCACTCCACCTACACTGACTTTCTGGACATACAATAAAAAAAGTGTCCCTAAAATTTTTTCACCTGCATAGGTGTTCTGTGCACACCCGCGCAGGCAGTCCCATTCATGTCAACTGGGATGCAGCAGCTGTGCCCACTCCAAATTTGACATTCATGTGGGTGCAGGTGCCTATGGGTCCCCAAATGCAGACAGCTTGAGTTCAGGAACCCACATGAATGTACAATGGGGAGCAATGGCCTAAGTACACCTGGGAGTACGCTTAAGTATGCTGTATGAATGACACCTTATAGTAATAAAAGCCATTGTAATTTAATATGCATCAAAGTAATATCGGACCGCACCATCAGTCGGACACTCTGCCATCCTTATGGCCATCTCCATGGCCTTATAGGCTTTACATATATGCTATCTTTGTGAGTATATTTCTTGCCTTTTTATACTTTTAATAAACCTTGGATAATGCACTAGGTGTCTGGACACCAATACAGTGATCAGTGCTAAAAAAAAAATCACTGACACTGTACTAATGGCACTGGGCAGGAAGGGGTTAACATGTGGGGCGATCAAACGGTTAACTGTGTGCTGTTTTACTCTGTGCTGTGTCCATGTGCCTCATGGTAAGCATGAGCTGACAGGGAGGAGAACTGTATTGTTTACAGTCAGAGATGCTCGTGAATCACCAGGCGCTGGTGAGTAATCACCGACTGGGGACAGCCGCGAATTGTGGCGCTGGTAGGCCGTGTACACCTCGCGCACCCTCCACCCGGAAATGCAAAATCACGTATATATACGTGATTTTGCGCATCTGTGCCACCCTGTAGCAGTATATCTGCTATAGGGCGGTCGGGAAGAGGTTAAACAAAGTAGTTGTTGCTCTGATACAAATGATCTCGGCATCCACTTGGAAATGAAAGGCTTTTTTTTTTTTGCTGCCATGTGACTCCTCTTTTTAGATCTCTGCTTAAAAAAGGACATTTTGACATATGAATTTTATAGCTTGGCAATTTCAGGGGAATATCACCAAGTTGTAGTTTTTGAGAAACAAAGAACTCTAAGATGTTTAATTATAATGTTCGGGAAGTTAAGTGTAATGTCAAAGTCTCTCTTTCCTCTGTTGTAAAACCAGGCCCCTGCTATGGTGTTCCCAAAGCCCAGTGTGCTTTTAGTTTCTGCACTCTGCATAGCTGAATTGAAGTAGTCAGCCCACAGCAGGTTATGTAGGTTTCTCAACTGCTTTAAAGCACTGAAAAGCTTTAGAATTCAAATTCCTGGTATTTTTTCTAACAAATAAAAGCAATGTTGCTCACTCAATTCTATATTTAGGTGACAATATAAGAAAATCATAATATCTCCTCCTAACATGGACACACACCATGTCAGACTTGTCTTCCCTTAGAGCCTATGAAAGGGCCTTATTGGGTAACTTACAGGGCAAAGGCCTAACATATTTAGTGCTTTCTCAATTACTCGAATTGGCTGTGAACTTTCATTTAATGCAGAAAAATAGGGAACGAGACTTTGACAAACACATAGAGGAGGATGATTGGAGCCATATCTGGACTACTAAGGCCAAGAAGTCCCTGAGAGTATCCCATACAGTTCCTAAATACTCGTGTTTTTTCAGTGGCTGTCAGGCTGAAGGTTCATTCAGGGATATTTGGGACTGGCTGAAGGTTAAACATCCAGGGTTTATCAGTTACTCTAATACTAAGTTAATACAGTCATGGGAGCAGGGGCAGACTGACAACTCATGGGGCCCCCGGGCAATAGGGGATCATGGGGCCCCTGTACCCTTGCCCAAACTCAAAAAAGCCTATGAAAAAGGTACCAGGGGCATCTCATGGGGCCCCCTACTGACCCCGGGCCCTCGGGCAGTGCCCGAGTTTCCAAATGGTCAGTCCGCCCCTGCATGGGTACATTGTTTTGTAAAGACTCCTTTGATATTCTTCTAAAAAGGTCCTTCTAAAATACCTGATATTTGCATTAACAATCAATTCAGTTTCTTGGGGACACCCCAACAATTTCCTCTGGGAAAATCACACATTTTTTTCTTTGAAAACTGATACAGCAGAGGGCATCATCTAAGTGCAACAGTAAAACATTTATTGTATGATTAAAAAAACGAATTGTCAACATACATGAAGTAAGTTTGTGAAGGTATGTTGAGCATGAAGTCCTCATGCACACTGGAAGTTTTTACAGCTGCTGTTTTTGGCTTTCAAGGGTTTTTTCTGCAGCCAGTAAACCCCCCAGCATGTTATCCTATGTGTCCATGCACACAAAGGCTGCAATCAGTGTTTTTTGGCAGGAAAAACCCCATAGAACTAGTGGGTTTCTAGAGGAGTTTTTTTTGCTGTAAAAACGCTCTAATGCTGAAAAACACGGGAAAACATGATAAATTGTGGCAAACTGGCGTGTTTTTTGACTTTTCTGGAGCAAAAAAAAAAATATTTTTTGTAAAAAAAAAAGCTACAAAATGCATCAAAACACCACCAAAAGCTAATGCAAAAACGTAAAAAAACGCTGAAATACTCACATTTTTAACGTGACTTTACACAGGTAACGTTACCAGCATTATTAAAACGCCCCGTGTGCATGGAGCCTAATAAACCAGAACATTCAGGGAACCCTGTAGCAGAGATATACAGGCACAAGAAGCTCAAAGCACTTCCTGGTTGCAAGGAGACTCCAGAGTAGGGGTAGGCAACCTATCAGTGGTGGAGATCTACCTGAACAACATGAAAGAGATCCAAGATCATCAAGGTTTGTTGCGCTTTTTTTTTTTTTTTTAAAAGGAAATTCATTAGCAAAGCCTAACTAAATAGCAAGGAAATTTCAGAAAAATATGATAAAAGAAATGTCACTGTAAAAATATAAATTTAGCCTACCTTAAAAGTGGACATTGTCAGTCAGTAGGACAATGGCCAGTATCAGTAGTGCAGTGGATGGTGTCAGTCAGTAGGGTAGTGGATGGTGTCAGTAGGGCAGCATCACTAGAGCAGAGGAAGGTGCCAGTAGTTTGTTTTTTTTAAATTATTTTTTACAACTTTATTTTTTGGTTTTTTGACTTTGGTGAAACATCAGGGGTCTAAACAGAGAAAAGGCAGCGAGGACAGAGATTCCCCAGTCTCTTACGCTGCAGCCTCAGCTGCGTTGGACAGTGAATGAATGGGAAGTGATCTGTACTGAATGGCTTCCTGTGCTGTTCATTTACAAACTAAAGAATAGTAAATACAGTTTACTATGCTTCAGTTATCAGCAGCCGGCGGGAGAGAAGGGAAGCTGGCAGCACTGCAGGGATTGGGAGAGGTAAAACAGGGCTGCAGAAAGAGAAGAGAGGAGGGGTGGCATTTACTATAATCGATTGGCTGCATTTTCCTTCTGCAGCTGCTAAATGTGGTCGAGGGAGAGGAAGAGAAGCTGGCTTTCAGTGGATGCAGTCAGAAAATTCAGCCAATCGGTTCTAGTAAATACCGCCCCCACTACCTCTCCTCACCAGGCGTGACAGGGAGGCTGCAGGGACCCTCAGGAGCATAGGGATGGCAGTGCCTGGGGAACATCCCCCCACCCAGATGCCCGATTTCTTATGCTCTACAAGCCTTCACTCATTTGAGTTGTCAATTTGTTTTTGTCATACTTAAATGTTTTAATTCTGCACTTACATGGTGCCTTCAGTTGTGTGTGTTTTTATGTCTTGATTGAGAGATTTCCTACCTGATAAAAAACTGGTTTATTGGACTCACGGTTATACAACCCAGGTGTTTTTTCTCTGCGATAAGAAGGTCACCCATATACTAATTGTGCCATAAAGACATTTCTTTTTATCCTTTGAAAAGCTTGCTGACAATTAAAATGACACTATGCCGAAATTCCGGAAATACTAGAAGAACCATGGACTAATGCAGGCCATAGACGTTTTTTTTTTTTAGAAAAATGAAAAATCAGTCGTTTAATCAGCAGACTTTACCACCATTGGTAGAAAAAAGTCGGCTGGTTTTCGTCCCGTCTATGGCCGGCAAATATAATAGTGAAGTGTCCCTGCAGAGAGCTCCACTATTATATTTGACATTTAAAAGTATAGCAAAGATGCAACATTGTATCTATTTGTATCCATTTCAGATACAGATGTTTCTATTCTGATACAAATGGATACAATGTTGCAACTTTGCTATACTTTTAAATGCTCTCTGCAGGGACACTCCATTATTCTATTTGACATTTAAAAGTACAGATGTTCTTTTTCTTTGTCTTCATCTTCTTCTGTTTCTTCTTTTTCCTCTTCTTCTTGCAGGTCACAGCTCATGCGCATTTTTTAAATCAGTAAAAAGATCAGCCGATTTGCCCATCATTGCCGTGAAAATTGGCTGATCGGCAAATTCGGCCGATTTTTTTTCCAACTTCACCGATTAAAAAAATGTGTCAGAATCACGAAAAACTGTTGACAAATTCACCCACTAACGATCCGAAAATGGCCGATTATTCTTTCAGACGAATTTTTGGCCGATTTTCTCCCCGTCTATGGCCTGCATAAGTCTTTCTTCCCCATACCTGTCACAAAACCCTTGGACATTATGAATATCACTTACCATAACACTATTTTTACCTCCCTACCAGAGGGTTACTGATCGAATGTCCTGACAGCAGCAATGCCTGATAATATTTTTGCTACCACGCCACCCACACCTTTTTTCCCCTCCTCCCTACACCCCTTTTCCTCTTCCTTTGCCTTCATTCATTTTCCATTTCTTCTTTTTTTTCACCCCTCGGTTTATCTTTACCTTGTAATTTTTATTCCACGTGCTCATGGATGCCTGGATTCCATACCCTAGACCTCATAATACCCCTTTTTCCTGAGAACTCATAACAAATCATTGACTTCCTGATATTTTCTCTACTCAATTCAAAGATTTGTCCATTGCACATTTCAGACAACGTTGACATCTGTATAAGCCATGGTATTGCTGTTGACGACCCATCCTACAGTATGTAACCTCTATTGTCAAGATTTTATTGTACTATGTATTGCAAACTTTTGTATGGTTTGGCATTTTACCTTCTTACATTTTTGGAATATGACAAACCAAAAAAAATGCTTTCAGCCCAAAATTGCTGAAGCAGTGACATTGTAAAACCATCAGCATGTAGTTTCAACAAACAGTAGTGCTGATAATGCCACCTAGTGGTTAATAAAATCAAAAGAAATTAGCAGAAAGGAAAAGTGAGGTACATTCTTGTGTTAGAATGAACTCTTTTCTCTATGAGCTCATTTGTCACAAAAGTTACATTTAAGCAATCATCAACTTTATCTTGGGGTTGCAACAGGGGCGGACTGACAACTCATGGGGCCCCCAGGCAATAGGAGATAATGGGGCCCCTGTGTCTTTGCCCACACTCAAAGCACACCCAAAAAAGACTATAAAATGTACCGGCATCTCATGGGGCCCCCTACTGATACCGGGCCCTCAGGCAGTGCCTGAGTGCCCAAATGGCCAGTCCGCCCCTGGGATGCAAACATACTCAGCTTAATTTACTAAAGAAGTAGATATTAAAGTGATAATAAACCTTTAGTATTTTAAGCAATTTCAGCTGCTGATTTAATCACTTACTTAGTATGCAGTTTCTTTATCTTTTATTCCTTCCCTAAGTCCATGTTTAATTTGGTGCCATGATCGCTGCTCCAGGTTTCCTGTTTCAGGGTTGCTCCATTCTTTTGCAGCATCCTTTACAGTCACCCATACATGTAGGGACTAGAGTTGTATCTTCATACACTATATACATCAACACAATCCTAATGGCAAGGCACTCCCCTGCGCCTCCTGAGAATGGCTCTGTACCACATAATCACTGTCTATAATCACAGTATCATAGAATGTAAGCAAAGGCTGCCGTTTGCAGTCATGCCTCACTGACTGGTGATCAAGAAGCACTCTTCACACACTTGTGTGTGCGAGCAAATAAAGCCTCCTGACCACCAGCCAGCACCATTGCAATCCATTAACAGTGGTAACATTATTACCCACATCCCTCCCAGCTTATTATAATAATTTGGCCTGGTGGGTGCTGTTATTTGGGGTGAATGTGCCCTCTGGGGCATGAAGTGGCGCAATCTGTGATCAGTCTTTTTTTTTTTTTAACATGATGTTACCAGTTAGTGTCACTAATCACCACCCCGACTCTGTCCGTAATCACCGCTGTACCAGTCACAATGTCCCTGATCACCACCATACCAGTCATATTGTCCCTAATCAACCAGTTACAGTGTTGGTGATCACTTCCACACCGGTCATATTATCCATAATCACCACCACACCACTTACAGTGTCCCAAATCACCGCCACACCACCTACAGTGTCCCTGATCACTGCCACAGCAGTCATTGTGTCACCATTATGACTTGTTCAGCTGTGCGATGTTCTCTGAAGAGGCATCCATGTTCGGATCGCTATTCAGAGAGCATTTGACAGGCAGTGGGTATTGTATCTCCCCCTCAATACCTGTTTAACCCCTTCGACCCTGCACATGCAACACCATTCACTTGAATGGGTCACAATCGGCAGGCATATAGGGAGTATAAATCCCCTCTGTGTGGCTAGGCTGTGAAAAAATCTCACACGTTATCCCCATACTCAGGAGGAGTAGTAGAATGGGTTTTGGGGTATAATTGTAAGTATACCTATTATGTGTGTTAGAAACTTCTTATTTTTTTATTTTGTCATGGCATTTTCATCTCCACAGGCATTCTGCTGGTTGTACCATCGATCCCTTATCAGATTATCTGACTTTCAAAGAGGTGGGTCTTATATCACTTTTGAGATGTTACGAACACTTTTCGATATCCCACTTCGTGAATACTATCGTTATCGGCAAATAAGACATTTTTTCATCTCACATTTTGGTTTGATACCTTCTTCCCAGATTATGTTTTTGGAACGTATAAGCTGTGACTCTCCTAGAGATAGGGGCCTTATCCCAGATTTGTACCGTCTTTTTTTGGAAACTACCTCTCCCTCACCCCCTTTATATTGACAGAAATGGGAAGCTGATAGTGGTGTCACCTTCTCAGTGGAGGACTGGGACTCCATGGTGGAAAACATACATAAGAGCTCTAGATCTCTTTCTGTCCGTGAGACGGCCCTTAAAGTATTAACCTGCTGGTATTATACCCCACCATACTCCCAGAGACGTCTCATCTTTGCTTCCGGGGTTGTGACCTAACTGGCACCATTGTCCATACATTTTGGGCCTGTCCAGGCCTTTCACTGATATGGAGTAAGATCTTTGCAGTGGCCTCTGCTGTGGCTGATGCCACGGTGCATTTGTCTATGCAGACTTGCCTACTGGGAGCTCTTATCCTGGGAATACGGACTGAGGCTGAGAATGATTCATACCATCTGTGTCTCAGCCCTATGGGCCATTGCTCTTCATTGGAAATTACCTACGGTACCATTGGCCTCAATTATACGAAGAGTCGATGCAGTAATGCTCATGGAACGTATTCACTTTACGTTACTCGATAGGATGCACTTATCTGACAAAAAATGGGATGCTTGGAAAACTCATAGATATTAAGTGTCTGACCAATGATTATTCATGCTTTAATTGATGATGTCTTTCTGTTGGTTTTATTGCTCTGCCTACCTTCCTCATGTATTTAACATTTATGTTCTACATAACTGTACCTTTTTTGGACTGAATATTACAGATGTGCCTTTTTTCTGTTGTATGTTATACCTTACACTGTTAAGCTGTTTTTTCAACCTATTTCTTTAAAAAAAAAAAGTGTTTTCAAAAAAAAAAAAAAGAAACTTCTTATTTTTTGACAACTTTGAGTAAAAAAATAAATTTTCATTTTCTTTCGTACATTTTCCGAAACCTCTGGAAAAAAATTACATTTTCAAAAGACTCATTATGCCTCTTAGAATGTTTGCTTTCCAAAATGGGGTCATTTTGTGGGTGTTTCCAATGTTGTGGGTATCCAAGGTCTCAAAAAATGTGATAGGTAGTCAGGAAATTAGATGCAGAATTTAATTGTAATTTCTGCCCATCAAAAGGTCAATGGAGCTCCCTAGATTTTGGACCCCTCTATGCATCTAGGCTGTAAAAAAGGCTCACACATGTGGTATCTCCATACTCAGGAGACATAGCAGAATGTGTTTTGGGATGTAATTATAAGTATGCATATGCCATGTATGAGGAATAACTTGTTAAAATTACAACTTTGTGAAAAAAAATTATCTAATTTCTTCATTTTCTGAAAAATTACAACTTCAAAAACTCACCATGTCTCTTACTAAACACCTTGGACTGTGTACTTTAAAAAAAGGAGGTAACTTGGGGGTATTTGTACTGTCCTGGCATTTTTGGGACCTCAAGAAATGAGATTGGCAGTCAGTACATCAGGATTGATTCATTTTCAAATATACATACCATAGATTGTAGACTCTATAAAACTTTTACACAGACTACATATTATACACTGATTTGGTTATATTTATCAAAGAAATGTAGCAGAATACATTTTGGCCTAAATTTATGAATAAAGATTATTAATTAGCAAATTTTTATAAGAAAAATTGGATTATTTGTTACTCACCACAAAAGCCCTTTCTCTGAGTTCATTGATGGACACAGCTCCTCTTAATCTTGACTATAGGATTATATCGCCACCTACAGGAATAGGACACTAGGTGGAAAAGAAACATAGCACTGCCTATGGGTAATCCCTTCTGGAATATACAGTCAGGTCCATAAATATTGGGACATCGACACAATTCTAACATTTTTGGCTCTATACACCACCACAATGGATTTGAAATAAAACAAACAAGATGTGCTTTAACTGCAGACTGTCAGCTTTAATTTGAGGGTATTTACATCCAAATCAGGTGAACAGTGTAGGAATTACAACAGTTTGCATATGTGCCTCCCATCACTTATTAAGGGACCAAAAGTAATGGGACAATTGGCTTCTCAGCCGTTCCATGGCCAGGTGTGTGTTATTTCCTCATTATCCCAATTACAATGAGCAGATAAAAGGTCCAGAGTTCATTTCAAGTGTGCTGTTTGCATTTGTAATCTGTTGCTGTCAACTCTCAAGATGAGATCCAAAGAGCTGTCACTATCAGTGAAGCAAGCCATCATTAGGCTGAAAAAACAAAACAAACCCATCAGAGAGATAGCAAAAACATTAGGCGTGGCCAAAACAACTGTTTGGAACATTCTTAAAAAGAAGGAACGCACCGGTGAGCTCAGCAACACCAAAAGACCCGGAAGACCACGGAAAACAACTGTGGTGGATGACCGAAGAATTCTTTCCCTGGTGAAGAAAACACCCTTCACAACAGTTGGCCAGATCAAGAACACTCTCCAGGAGGTAGGTGTATGTGTGTCAAAGTCAACAATCAAGAGAAGACTTCACCAGAGTGAATACAGAGGGTTCACCACAAGATGTAAACCATTGGTGAGCCTCAAAAACAGGAAGGCCAGATTAGAGTTTGCCAAACGACATCTAAAAAAGCCTTAAAGTTCTGGAACAACATCCTATGGACAGATGAGACCAAGATCAACTTGTACCAGAGTGATGGGAAGAGAAGAGTATGGAGAAGGAAAGGAACTGCTTATGATCCTAAGCATACCACCTCATCAGTGAAGCATGGTGGTGGTAGTGTCATGGCGTGGGCATGTATGGCTGCCAATGGAACTGGTTCTCTTGTATTTATTGATGATGTGACTGCTGACAAAAGCAGCAGGATGAATTCTGAAGTGTTTCAGGCAATATTATCTGCTCATATTCAGCCAAATGCTTCAGAACTCATTGGATGCCGCTTCACAGTGCAGATGGACAATGACCCAAAGCATACTGCAAAAGCAACCAAAGAGTTTTTTAAGGGAAAGAAGTGGAATGTTATGCAATGGCCAAGTCAATCACCTGACCTGAATCCGATTGAGCATGCATTTCACTTGCTGAAGACAAAACTGGAGGGAAAATGCCCCAAGAACAAGCAGGAACTGAAGACAGTTGCAGTAGAGGCCTGGCAGAGCATCACCAGGGATGAAACCCAGCGTCTGGTGATGTCTATGCATTCCAGACTTCAGGCTGTAATTGACTGCAAAGGATTTGCAACCAAGTATTAAAAAGTGAAAGTTTGATTTATGATTATTATTCTGTCCCATTACTTTTGGTTCCTTAATAAGTGGGAGGCACATATGCAAACTGTTGTAATTCCTACACCGTTCACCTGATTTGGATGTAAATACCCTCAAATTAAAGCTGACAGTCTGCAGTTAAAGCACATCTTGTTCGTTTCATTTCATATCCATTGTTGTGGTGTATAGAGCCAAAAATGTTAGAATTGTGTCGATGTCCCAATATTTATGGACCTGACTGTAACTCCCTCTCTGCTATAGGCAATCTAGTCGGTAACAAAGCAGTGTCAGAAAGCATAAATTCCAATAGAGGGGTGGGTGCCGTGTCCATCAGTGAACTCAGAGAAAGGGATTTTACAGTAACAAAAAAAATCCCATTTTCTCTTACGTTCATTGACGGACACAGCTCTTCTTAACCTTGATCATAGGGATGTTCCAAAGCAGTGCCCCAACGATGGTTGGGCAAACCAAAAGGCAATTGGAGCAACCAGGCAAACACACTAAACAACCACTAAAGAGGCAAACAAAGCACATAAAACAGCAGCCTGCAATTCTTTGCGGCCAAAACAAGCATCTGAAGATGCAAACATATCAACCATATAAACATATGTAAGAGTGTGCACAGGCGACCAGGTAGCTGCCTCGTAACCCTGGGACACAGATGCCAGAAGGCACCAGAGGTACTAGTGCCCTTGTGGAGCATGCCATATCGGGGAATGGGGAAGCCCGCCCCTTACCAGTGTATGCCTGAACAAGTGTCTTCCGGATTCAACAGGAAATCGTGGCAGAGGGGCTATCGGGCTTTTCCTTGGGCTGTCTGTGAGCATAAAAAGGCATCTGTCCATTGGCAGGAGGAAGCATTGGACAGGAATGCACAAACCCCCTGAACCACGTCCAAAGCATGCAACAGGGAGCACATGGGGGCACCAAACAAACCCCTTGAACAAAGGTGCAAAGCATGGAGTATATGGCCATGAGATTATGCAAAGAAGACAGCAAGGACATAAACTAAACCTGTCAGGGTACTCAAAACAATCTTTGTTCAATGCCCCTTTGAATAAAAGGCCAACGCCCAAGCCACTGGGAAGGAAAATGGCTTTGCACCCGGGCAATCAAAACCGTACAGGAGCGATGACAAATCATCCCAAGAGAAGGCACGTGAGCACTCAACACTGTGGAGAATTCCAAACCTGACAACTTCCTTTCCCACAAAAGCTGGCTTACAATAGTAATTTCTCCCAGGTAGAAACGGCAACCCAGGGTGGTAGACCAGACCCTGGGACAGATGGTCCTTCCGAGCAGGCAACAGCCCAGGAGTGTTCAAGATCTGTTGCACCATGTTGGCATACCAACCAAGACCAATCTGGAGCCACCAGAAGGACTGGGAAAACCCCAGGGCTGCTGCTACAATGCATGAGGCATCCTGGTGAATAACCTGGGCCACAGTGATGGCAGTGACTGATTGGATCCTGACCAGGAGGCCACAGAGAAGGGTAATCCAGTTCATCAGAAGGAACCCAAACACTTGCAGCTCCAGGACACTGATGTGCAGGAGAGTCTCTTCCAGAGGCCAACAGCCTCAGTTCAATCTCGAACCCAGGGCTCCTCCTCAGCTGGACAGACTGGCATCCACAAGAATGCCTGTCCAGCGGAAGGGGAGGAAAGACTTCTTGGCTTGCCAGGCAGCGGACCAGAACCACCATCAGAGGAAGGCCCTTACTGATCATTCCAGGTGAACTGGTTGTCTAGGGAGTTCCGTCTGCAGAATTTTTTCATGGAATGGAGCACACAAGACCACCTGGAAGGTGGATACCATAGGACCCAGAGTCCACAAGCAAGACCACCAGGAAGGCTGTTTTGCTTGGTGTCTAGTAAAGGTTACGTTGCATTATAAGCAAAGAAACTTAGACCTCCATAGTGTATTAATGTGCTTATACTAAATGAATATGCTGTACATACTGTAAGCTTTGGTAACAAAACCTGGAAGTTGATTGGTCTCTATGCAGAGCTACATCAGATTTTGCACTTTCTAGCTTTACTAACCACTTGCCCTCCAGAGGATTTACCCCACTTCCTGACCAGGCAAAAATGTATTCTGCTACGTCTTTGCTAAAAAAAAATCCCAATATGTGTAAATTAATTGGTTTACGTGGAATTTTAATTTTTATTATACTACTAATGGTGGCAATCAGTGACTGACTCTAGCTTCACACCTAAGAGTTTTATGCAGCATATTGCAGAAACACAGTACAGTCCATTTAACATGATTTCCTATGGGACATGTTTACACCTGTGTGTTTTCACCCAGTGCGTTTTTTGGAAAGGGTCAAGGACTTTTCTGAATGCAAAAAGTTGCATTTTTGATTCTATAGACTTCAATGGAAATGCTGCAAAAAAGCATGCATCGCGTTTTCGCTGCATTTTAAATCTGCCTAGCAACAAGAAAAAAAAAAAAATTAAAAGAAAAAACCCCTTGCAAAACGCATAAAAAATCACAAGTGCAAAAGCACGAAATGCAAAGCAATGCATAAACGGCTGAATGCAACCTGCACAGGTGTGAAATTAGCCTTATAGCTGGACTGCGGAGGACATGCTGACACTGGGAGGGAACTGACTGTCACAGACAATTCCAATGACACTAATACAGTGATCAGTGCTAATAAAAAGCACTGACACTACTAATGACACTGTGCAGGAAGGGGCTAACATCTAGGGCAATCAAAGGGTTAACTGTGTGCTGTTTTACCTTGGAGACATGCTGCTTTGTATCTCTCTGTTGTGCAGATACAAAACAGCATGTCCGTGCTGACAGGAGAGACCTGTGTTGTTTGCACACCAGGGGCAGACTGACAACTCATGGGGCCCCCGGGCAATAGGGGATCATGGGGCCCGTGTCCTTGCCCAAACTCAAAAAAGCCTATGAAAAAGGTGCCAGGGCATCTCATGGGGCCCCCTACTGACCCCAGGCAGTGCCTGAGTTTCCAAATGGTCAGTCCGCCCATTACACACAGGTCTCTCCCGTCATGTTTACCCGACGATTGCCTAGCCAATAGCTGTGCACGCGTGCCCCCTATTCAGGAAATGCAAATCGTATATATATATGTATGATTTTGCGCAGCCCTACAGCAGTACGTCTACTATAGGGCAGCAGGAAAATGGCTAAATAACCCACAATATGTCTGATTGCAGTGCAGCTCACTACACCACACCCCGTGCCATGTTATAAATGGAATGGGCATCTTTAGAACAATTTTCTATGGCCTTTGGCTGCCTATCATGTATTAACTGCACTATGTGCAAATGAACCCTTACATCTGATGCAAATAGGCCTCATCAGGTGTCACTGCTACAGACCATATTGATGGCTCAAAATGATTCTTCTAGGTGGCCAATGAGAAAAAAAAACCCTCTATGATTGAACTACTAATAATAAATGGTCGCAGCAATCATGTCCCTCTCAGTTACACAAAAATAGCTAACAAAATATCCCAGCGGCCCTGTGCACTGATCTAACACTGACAACAGCCCTCATTCTGTGTTCTGACGGCAGCTCTGGGCGTAGGAGCACATGCGGCACATGTCCAGTATAGCAGCGATTCGGTCGGTGTGGGCTACGGGAAAATGACAGCCAAGGGTCACCTGACGGCGTTCTCTAGTAGGAGTAGCGCGGGGTGATGACGTCGGAGAAGCGCCGGAGCGGCTGGCGCGTTTGTTTCTGTACGCTGAGCACAGGAGAGAACCGGCAGAATGGCTTCAGCTCTGGAGAATTATATTAACCGTATCCTGGACGGAGTGCTGGGACTTGGCTGTAGTTTATAGTAGTTGTGACTGGTGTAACATGGCCTGTGCTTTGTCCTGTATGAGGGAGCTGCTTTTATGTCCTGGAATATTTCCTAACGCTGCCTGCAAGCCTGAGCTTTGGCCTCGGGACAGAGCAACAGGGACACTCTATTGTTCCCTATCTTCACAGCAGATAATGCAATCCCTGTAGCAGACTACAGGTGAGGTGTGTACACTGCCTGCACCCATACACAGGCAGCCTGAGAGGACAGCAGACCCCAGAGAAATGTCTTCTGGGCTGCCTCTGCAGGTCCATGCAATCTGTCCTTATATCGGCAGTTTTATCAACCAAATGGCATGTGCTCACCAAGTACAGTGGGGCATGTAGTCCCAATGTGTCCAATATGGTGGTGAGTAATGACGTTAGGTGTGTGTGTTCTCTGACGTTTAGGGAAGTGGTATACCAGGGGTATGCCTGAAAAATGACCCCACACCATAACCCACCCCCCCCCCCCCCCACCACCAAACTGTACACTTGGCGTTCTGGCAAATGCCAAACCCAGACATGTCCAGATTGCCAGACAGAGAAGTGTGATTGGTCACTCCAAAGAACACGTCTCCACTGCTCTAGAGTCCAGTGGCAGCGTGCTTTACACCACTGCATTGACGCTTTGCATTGCACTTAGTGATGTAAGGCTTGGATGCAGCTGCTCGGCCATGGAAACCCATTCCATGAAGCTCTCTGTGCACTTTTAGGTCTTTAGCTATTGACTCTGCAGACAGTTGGTGACTTCTGCGCATTGTGCACTTCAGCAAGCACTGACCCCGCTCTGTCATTTTACATGGCTTACCACTTATTGTCTCAAGGGTGCTGTCCTGAAAGATGGGGAGGGGAAAAACAAAGTTACACTTACAGGAACGCCTTTTTCCAGGAGTCTTTCAAACAGCGCCAGCTTACCCTCCCTTTTATTGTTTTTTTTGCTGTTTATATGGTGCTTTTTTTTTGTGTCTTGTGTGTCTCCTCAGGTGACTTGAGGTGCTAAGGCATGAACTGAGGTCTGAGTGGGGAGGCCACACTTTTATATTGGTAGAGATGGTGTTTCCTCAGGTGGGGAGAAGCCGAGGTCTCTCAAGGGTGCTGTCCTGAAAGACTCATGGAAAAGGCGTTACCACAAGTGTCTGAAATATAAAAGGTGCAGCGCTAAAGTAATGAATCAAATGAAATACTTCTAAAACATGTACATAAATAATAAGGTGAATAGAAGCAGCAATATTAAAAGGTAGACCCAATGAGGCGCTCTGATCAGCGCTAGCAGTCTAAAGTGTGAGAGTTCATACATTAATAACTCATGAACTCTCACACTTTAGACTGGTAGCGCTGATCAGAGCTCCTCACTGTGTCTACCTTTTAATATTGCTGCTATTAGTTTTATTACTGCTTCTCTTCACCTTATTATTTATGTTTATGCACATTTTAGAAATATTTGATTTGATTCATTCATTACTTTAGCGCTGCACCTTTTATATTTCAATCACTAGTGAGGATACCAAGGGCGGCCCTTTAGTGCCAGCAACTTGTACCTTTCTACACACCCATAGCGCTCACTGACATTCTATATACAGTTACCATAAGTGTAACTTTGCTTTTTTTTTCCCCTTGTTTTTTTAAAACTTTAATGGAACATCACAAAGTGACACTCTATTCATTTGTATGTACAGCCGCTCATAAAAATGTTTTATGTGCAACCGCACATTAAAATGCAGCGCCACACAGAGATCTGCAGAGCGGAAAACTGTAGCAGTGTTGCAGCTTTCCACACTGTTCTGCCATGCAGCTGCAGGGAAGTGTGAACGAGGCACATGGAAAAGCATTCTTTTCTGTGTGCCCTTGCAGAAATATGCAGTTTTGCTATAATATGAATGGGCCCAAGTACATTTGCATTTACCTGCATTGCCTAAAATCAGTTTACTTCCTTAACGGACATTTTTCAGGAACGGTTGCAGTTATTACAGCTGACGGGAGGATGATTGTGGTAAGATTTTCTGTTGAAACAGAGTTGTCAACTTGTTGGAATAATAGATGTGAAGGTGTTAGTGCTGTGCCACTGTTACTGAGGTTGCTTTCTTTTTAGAGTACTTGCACATAGCATTGATGTATGAACATCAGTTTCCTGGCAGAAAATTCCTATGAAAAAAAGCAAGGCTGGGCTGTGGTAAATGCACATATTCGCACGTGTAAAAACTCTTCTAACTGTCCTTGGATGCGTTGTACGGGCATTTAATACAGTCCAGCAATGTAGTTTTTTTTTTTCCTTACTGATCTATAGAGTTTACGTGCTTTTGTGTACTGACCCATTAAAAACAATGGCTTGCAATTAAACCCTCATCATAAAAACCTAGCAGTAAATGCTGTATTACATGCTATTTATACTCAGTCACAATGGGATTCATTTTCTGTATTTTGCAAAACACCTGCTTGAGCCTGCTGTTCTCCATCTACTCCTTCTGTCCACATCCCCAACACAGCTGGGAATTTTGCAGAGCAGTGTTGGCAGCTACTGCACATGCTCAGTTTTCAGGGAGTTTCTATGCTGAGCATTTCCTCTCTATCACATCTGAACAGCCCATGTGACTATAGCATTACCATTGTGGGTGTATACACAGTGGTAAATGACAGCCTACTCCCTCCTTCCTCCTCCATGCCCACTAACCAGCTAAACGCAAAGAGGGTAGGATATTACATCTTGATTGATGGAGGCTTTATCTCCCTCATATTCTAAGACACAGGCTGGAGGAGTGAGAGACAGCCTGTGACTAGAAAAAAATCCGCCCACACCATGTTATTGTCAAAGATAAAGTTTTGACTTCAATTATATTTTAGAATGAGAATTTAAAACCGTTTACTGATATTATTTATTTTTACAGTTTTCCTGCAGACAGGCTGGGAAAGAGCTGGGTCCTGTGACAGCTGTATATAGATTAGGAAGTACTTTGTTTTTATTAAAATTATTACAGTGCCATCATTCACATGCAGAAAAAAAAGGGATAATGTATATTAAACAGTGTAGGTTTCGTATCACTTTAAGATCAAGGAAAAAAAATGCCTGAATGTCATTGTGCAAAGTGAATCTGAATGGGAGTGACTTTTTAATTATTGATTAGCTGATCATTTGCAGGGTTCGAATGAGGAAATTGTAGTGTCTGCATTCCTTTACAAGTAATTTACCCCTTTGGGAGTATCTCATCATAAATTAAATATTTACTGCAGAGGATGCCCAAAATCTGACTTGTCTTAGTGCAGACTTCTGGGAAAATCAGCGAGCCAATCACAGGAAGTGTCATTTATTCGGAGCGTTCTGTACGCCACCTGTATACAGAAGACTTCCAGGTGGCCAAATTCACAATTTTTTTATTTTTTATTTTTTTATTTTACATTGTCATTAGCATAGTAGAATCATCATATGACTGCTGTAGCGGTGATCAGGAATACTGACTGGTGACAGTATGTTATAAAAAAAAAAACATTCATTCATCAGAATAGTTCAATGTCACCATAGTAGCACTGTACTACTTTGGGGGGAGGGGGTTGTTCAGGGATATTTTTAGACTCCAGATCTTGATCACACCAAGATTGGTCTGATCAGATGTTTTCCCAAGCCAAAAATGGCTGTGCTTACATCTTGCAGGGCTGGAAGTGACAAAATACTCGCTTTTGGTTTCTAATACCATAGAGATGATCAGGGACATTCCAATCCGCACTCAGTTCTATGTTAAGCCGGTGAAAGCTTCAGTCTCGGGCTTCCTGATGGGATGGGAGAGCCCGGGAAGGCACTGACCACTAGGATTGCTTGTACATTACAGAGGATTGCCGGCTAAAAAAAAAGAGAGCCTGGGATGATGCCTGTAGCTGCAGGCATCATCCTGGTATCTCAAAAGTCCAGGCTGTCATATGAGGTCCAGTGGGTGGGAAGTGGTTAATGGATATGTTAGTGGTGGGTTACCAGGTATTATTCAATCCTAATTTGCAATTAGACATTTGGACTCTGAATGAAATGGCTGAAGTTGTCTGAAAATTACCAGCATAAGAGTTTGTAAAGGTCTGAAACCTAGCTCCTGGACACTGTGGAGGGAATTTATTAAAATTTGGAGTAGACAGAATTTGTAGCAGTTGTGTATAGCAACCGATTAACTTCTTCATATAAGCTTTGAAAATGAAAGCTAGAAGCTGATTGGTTGCGATACGCAACTGCTTTGGACTCTGCTCCAGTTCTGATTAATTCCCCTCTGTGTGTACAGTTTGCAAAATGGAAGCCTTATTTCTATAAGGTGGAACGTGTAAGGGAGTTAGTAAGAATGATATCCTTTACTAGATACTTAAATGAATAGGTGGGGATAGAAATATAGGAGCATACCAGATTCACATATTTCTAATTGAATGCAATTGGAAAAATGTGTTAATGTTGTGTGAAGGTTTTGTGGTAAACCTTTATAAATGGACCCCTTAAAGTACAAGTTCACTTTTATTGAACTTCTACTATATTTATTTGGCTGCGAGTCCTTTGCAATCTTTATTGCGCCTTCCTGCCTACCTACATTCTCCCAGAGACATCCTTGCCGACTTTTACTGTGCACCTGTGCCTTTGCCCATTCATTCCAATCCAGCAGGGAAGAAGGAAAGTATTTAACGCGGCAGGCTGCACTTAGGACTGGTGGGTAACTTGGTACAAGGTCACTAAAAGTAAACTTGTACTTTATATCCTGTCCAGCCCAGTGATTCATAAGCCTCACATTTTTTACTTCAAAGGCTCACTGTATCACAATTGTCACTTTTTTTCTTTCATAAAACAGTGTGAATTTTAAAGGCAGTCCGTACTAAGAGAAATATGTAGGATGACATTGCTGATTCATTATAAAAAGTATTGCCTGGCTGTTATGCTAATCCAGTTAGTGCATTTATCCATGCAGTTTTTTATGGTTTCACTTGCTGCATGTTCTTTTAAGTGACTCAAACCAATGGAAGTTGTTAGCAATGGCAGCCTGTGTATTTCTTAAATGTGAAATGTGTATTCATATGCAAATACTTTCACTGTTTTTTTTTTTTCTTTTTCTTTCAAGGGAACACTCAAGGGTTTTGATCAAACAATAAACCTAATTTTGGACGAGAGCCATGAGCGAGTATTCAGCTCTTCACAAGGAGTGGAACAAGTAGTATTGGGACTATACATTGTACGAGGAGACAATGTGTATGTATTGTGGCTTTAAAATGTTATATTAATCATGTACTGTACGTGATTACCTCTACAATCTTTGAAAATGGCGTTTGTAATGCTAAGAAAAAAGCCTTATTGACAACCAATAGTGTTGATTACCTGCAGTGCTCATTTTGCATGTAGACACTGGCTTTTTATGAAGAGCCAGGGATTAAAGAAAGATGGCCAAGTGTAGTTCCTGATATCAAGCACATGATATAGCTACCATCGGTCACTGGGAAAAAAGCGGCATGGAGTTGCCCTTGGCCCTCACATGGTGCAGTGCACAGGGGTTGCTAGCACTGAGCACATATATTTCTTGCACGGTGCCCTGGGTCCTGTTGTTGTGACTGCCAGACTTCTTTTTTTTTTTTTTTTTTTTTTTTTTTTTTTAACATTCCATGCTGCAAGCTGCAATAGCCACCTTCTTCAGACCTCAGAACCAGCAGCTGTGCAGAACTGAGGAAGGTGGGGGAGCAGGGAGAAATATGTGCTGGGGGGATTTGGGAGAAGAGGTCTGTACTGGGGGGCTAGGGTTAGGGCCTTGGAATCTGTTGCAGGTATTTGTACTGGGAGTAGGGGGGGTCATTTTGGCTATACTGTGTACACTGGCCTCTGTAATGTATTCCTGACCCCTGCACTCTGTCCCGTATGCTTTCCTGACCCATATCAGAATAGGCTCAGGTTTATTTAGCCATTCTTTTTTAGGGACCTTCCCACTGTTACCACAATTTTGCCTCACCTACAATTCACCAAGGTATGGACAGCATGCCACATTATCTCTCTACTTATATTGCCCGAGACATTTGATGTTTATACCGTATTTTTCGCCGTATAAGACGCACTTTTTCTTCCCCAATACTGGGGGGGAAATGTCAGTGCGTCTTATAAGGCGAATATGGAGCGGCCGGTCCGGTATTTCCACCGCGGCCGTGTCAGAATATCGGGCCGGCCGCTCAGCTCTGCAGCGGGACCTTACCTGTTCCTCTATCCAGCGGCGTGCTGTCTTCCCAGCTTCTGTAGTGTGGGCACTGGGCATGATAGCCGGGTGCCCAGTGCACATGCGCGAGAAGCGGTGCGCTTTGTGAATGGTAAGGCGGTACCTGGGACACATGACAGATCCCAGAAGCCGCCGGACCAATCACGCTTCTCACTAATGCGCACTGGGCACCCGGCTGTCATGCCTAGCGCCATAACAGAACCCGGGAAGACAGCGCGCGGCTGGATCGAGGAACAGGTAAGATCAAACAAAAACTCTGCGGAAGTAAGAGCTGGTACCTGTCAAATTCAGGTACCCGCTCCCCACTTCCCCAAAGGTCAGCAGTCATCTGTGCTGTCCGCGCGGTCTCTGGTCATCCCTGTCTGTCCCGCGATCTCTGGTCATCCCTGTGCTGTCCGCGGTCTCTGGTCATCCCTGTGCTGTCCGCGGTCTCTGGTCATCCCTGTGCTGTCCGCGGTCTCTGGTCATCCCTGTGCTGTCCGCGGTCTCTGGTCATCCCTGTGCTGTCCGCGGTCTCTGGTCATCCCTGTGCTGTCCGCGGTCTCTGGTCATCCCTGTGCTGTCCGCGGTCTCTGGTCATCCCTGTGCTGTCCGCGGTCTCTGGTCATCCCTGTGATGTCCGCGGTCTCTGGTCATCCCTGTGCTGTCCGCGGTCTCTGGTCATCCCTGTGCTGTCCGCGGTCTCTGGTCATCCCTGTGCTGTCCGCGGTCTCTGGTCATCCCTGTGCTGTCCGCAGTCTCTGGTCATCTCCTGTACTGTGTCTGCAGTCCATTAGTTCAGAATTTTTTTTTTCCTGTTTTCTGCCTCTAAAACCTAGGTGCGTCTTATGGTCAGGTGCGTCTTATACGGCGAAAAATACGGTACCTTCCATATCTGCTTTTTTGTTCCAAAAGTCTTTGCCCAATTGTTAGTGCATGTTAAAAATGGTGGGGGTTTGTGGGTGTGGCTAGAAATGAGGTGTGATTTTGTGTATAGATGTGGTTAAAAAGTGGGCATGGTAAGTGGGTGCCACCGTATTTCACTTTGAAAATTTGGTAGTTTTAGTACATATGTACAGAACATGGTAGTGCACCGGGCAGTACAGTGTCCCTTGCCTTGGCCGTTTATGGCACTACCATATTCCATTGGACGATACTACTTGAATATTGATAAGAATGTTCTGCTTTGATAATTCTCTTTCTATTACTCACTACAGAGCGGTCATTGGAGAAATAGACGAGGAGACAGACTCTGCACTGGATTTGGGGAACATTAGAGCAGAACCCTTGAACTCTGTTGTAAATTGATCCCTGTGTAAATAATGAGCTGCACATGATTTTACTCATTATGTATGTTTTCTTACAAGCGTTTGGATACAAATCATATGTTATTATTGTTAATTTGTTTAGTTTATTGTGTATAATAAAATGTTTGTACATTTTTAGCCTTTTTTCTTCTTGCTCTATTGTCTGTATAAAGGCCATTTTCTCTGTATACTATAGAAGTAAAATGGCAAGGAATCCAGCCTGATATTCTTGCACCAACTGGATTGGTGGTGTTACAGTGGATTTTTAGTTTCACTTTGGCTACGTCCACACTGCTCTATGGTAAAAATGCATACAGTCATGGCCAAAAATATTGGCACCCCTGCATTTCTGTCAGATAATGCACCACTTTGCCCAGAAAATTGTTGCAATTACAAATGTTTATGCATTCTCATGTTTACTGCTTTTGGTTTGTATTGGTATGACACAAAAAAGTTGAGACACATTTCACGCAAAACTCAAGAAATGGATTGGACATAATTATTGGCACTTTCTCAAAATTGTAAGAAATAATTGCATTCCAAGCTTGTGATGCTCCTGTAATTTGTAATTACTCACCTGCCTCATTTACCAGTGCTGGCAATATAGAAAGCACAAGGGCAACCAGTTAAAATGGTGAAAAATTGACTCAATCTTTCTGTTGTGTGTTTCTATGTGCCACATGGAGAAGAGAAAAAGCAGCAAAGAATTGTCTGAGCATTTGAGAACAGAAATTGTGTAAAAGCATGGACAATTTCAAGGTTACAAGTCCATCTCCAGAGATCTTAAGGTTCCTGTATCCACTGTGCACAACATTGTCAAGAAGTTTACAGCCCATGACCCTGTAACTAATCTCCATGGACTTGGACGAAAGAGAAAAATTGATCAAAGATTGTGACAAAGGACTGCTCAAATGGTGGATAAAGAACCTCAATCAACTACCAGACAAATCCAAGTTGACCTTCAGGCACATGATACAACTATCAGCTTGCATTATACATCGCCATGTGAATGAAAAGGATTTCTATGGTAGGAGACACAGGAGCACCCCACTGTTGACACATAAAAAAGCCAGATTAGAGCATGCGAAAACTTACCTGAGGAAGCCAGAATACTTTTGGGGTAATGTGCTGTTGACAAATGAAACAAAATTTACAGCTTTTTGGTAAAGCCCATCATTCTGTTTTCAGGAAAAGCAATGAGGCCTTTAGAGAAAAGAATACAGTCAAACATGGTGCTGGCTCACTGATGTTTTGGGGTTGAATAAGGAAAGAACAAAGAGAGGGCGCACAGGCCTAGTGCATTACCATAAAAAATGTTTAATAAGAAATAAAATAGGTGTTGTACTCACAAACGAGAATAAAGTCATGGCACATCATAAAAGAACAGCTGGGCCAACACCGCGCTGAGTAACAGTCCGCAATGGGGAGTGTAGACATCCAATAGGCTGACGCATTTCAAGGACTTGCCTCTTCCTCAGAGCCCTCGAAACGCGCCAGCCTATTGGATGTCTATACTCCCCATTGCGGACTGTTACTTACTCAGCACGGTGTTGACCCAGCTGTTCTTTTATGATGTGCCTTGACTTTATTCTCGTTTGTGAGTACAACACCTATTTTATTTCTTATTAAACATTTTTTATGGTAATGCACTAGGCCTGTGCGCCCTCTCTTTGTTCTTTCCTCATTCAGTATATTTGGATTCCTCCGGTCCATTTGAGGGCAGCAAGGTGTGCATGTTCCAGGACATTCTTAATGTGGTTGTAGCCTGCATCGAGTCCATCCCCAAGCGCAGGAGCATTTGTGTTTGCTGGTTCAATGTTTTGGGGTTGCTCTGCTGCTTCAGGCACTGGATTTCTTGACTGTATGCATGGAATTATGACATCTGAAGACTACCAGAGAATTCTGGGGTGCAATGTAAGGCCCAGTGTCAGAAAATTGGGTTTCCGTCAGAGGTCATGACTCCGTCAGCAGGACAATGACCAAAAGCACTCAAAAATGGTTTTAGACAAAGTGCTGGAGAGTACTGAACTGGCCAACAATGAGTCCAGATTTCAATCCCATAGAGCAGACATCACTAAATGGCGGACCGAGTCACTGTTCTATACGGACCCATGCAGTGCTGCCATTTTTAGGAGCCTTTTCTTCCCCCAGCTGTCTTGCGGTCATCCTCACAGAGCTGGGATTCAGGACAGTTCTGGAGGGTGGGAGCCGTCTGAGGTTAGCAGGTGATGGTTCCTAGGATGAAGGGCAGTCCTAGCAATCACTTTCCGTCAATCACTGTCTGTAAGGTAGGACAGTGGGGGGCGAAGTTAAAGGGACTAAGGACATTAGTGTGAAGGAGGGATGAGAAAAGTAATGTAAGGGGCTACGGACATTAAAGTGGGAGGGGCTGAAGACTGTAATGTGGGGCTGAGGCCAGTAGTGTGGGGGGCAAAGAAGCTAAGGATGATAATATGGGGGCTGAGGATAGTAATATGGGGGGGGGTCTGACCTCCAGATCGCCATCCAGTGATGTGCAGTGGGGATTGAAGACCCTGATGTGAGAACAGGTTCAAATCTGTACATGTGCACTTGGTGCCCATGTTGTGGGTAGGTCAGCACTACCTGCTAGAAACTTGAAGTCCCTGATCCTTTTTTTTTCAAGATCGCACCGCAGAAACGTGGTTTGGTGAACACAAAAAAGGGGCCTACATGAGAGTTGGACCTCTGATGCATGCAAATTTTACTGCCCAGACCTTGGTGAGGTTTGAATTCAATACCCTTGCCATAGAGCAACTGTGGAGAGATCTGAAAACAGCAGTTGGGAAAAGGAATCCTTCCAATCTGAGAGACCTGGAGCAGTTGGCAAAAGAAGAGTGGTCCAAAATTCCACTAGAGAGGTGTAAGAAACTCATTAATGGTTACAGGAAGTGATTGAGTTCAGTTATTTTTTTTTCCAAGGGACATGCTACCAAGTATTAAATTGAGGGTGCCAAAATTTTTGTCCAGATCATTTATGGAGTTTTTTTTGGAATGTGTCAGATTTGGCTTTATGTCTCTCCACAAAAGAAACATGAAGATGACAAAAATAAACATTACCTAAACATTTTTAATTGCATCAAGTCTGGGCAAAGTGGAGAATTATTTGACAGAAATGCAGGGGTGGCAGTATTTTTAGCTATCACTGTATGCATTTTTTTCTGCGTTTTACCGAGTTTGTGCTGCATCTCTGATGTTCTTTGCACCTGTAAAAAAAGGATATGTAACAAAAAAATGCAGCAAAAATTTGTTTTTGACTCGTTTTTCATTTATTCCAACGGGGAGGTGTTTTTTTTTTTTTTACCTGCACTAAACATGCACTGTCATGTTTCACATAACTGTCATATTGACTGTCATATGCCTTTAAATGTTTTCAGTGTTTTTGTCTCTGCTCCTCCCTTTCCTTTAGTTTAGCTAATGTTGCATAGGTAAGCCCTCCCCCCTTCCCAGAGATGCATTGCAACAGCCTCATGGCAAGAAGCAGAAAAAGTATGTTCTGGCTCCTGGACTGATGTTACACGCAGAACTCGTGGTGGAGTTGCTAACAATAAGCGATGGGCTGTGCTGTTCACTTGCTTGAGCATTCGTGCAGTGCACATTGAAGTGATAGAATCAATGGACTCTTCTTGTTTCATTAATGCTTTCAGAAGATTTGTTTCTGTACGAGGACCTGTAAAGTTACTTAGATCTGACTGTGGGACTAATTTTACAGGAGCAGAAAAGAGTAAACATCTTGAATGGCAACAAGTGTAAATGAGAATTCAACCCACCTCATTCCTCTCACATGGGAGGCTCTTGGGAACACATGATTGTATTGCAAGAAAGATCCTGGACCCTATGCTACTGGACCAGAAAACTTCTCAATTTACTCATGAAGTCTTAGTCACTCTTCTTGCAGAAGTGTCTGCTATAATCAATGCAAGACCATTGGTCCCTGTGTCCTCAGATCCAGAGTTCCCAGTTTTGCTCACTTCAGCTACTCTTCTTACCCAAAAAATTGGAGTAGCCACTATTCCCACAGAGGAACTTGATTACCCTAACATTTACAAGCATCAATGGCGACGGGTTCAACATCTTGCTGATGTGTTTTGGAATCGCTGGAAGATGGAGTACCTTTCTAACCTTCAAAGTCGTAATAAATGGCAAACTAGCAAACCCAATCTACAAGCGAGAGACATAGTTCTTTTGAAGGAGACGGATTCCCATCGTAACCATTGGCCCATGGATCTTATTACAAAGACTTTGCCAAGTAACGATGGAAAGGTACGCAAGGTTGAAGTTAAAGACATCAAAGAAGGTTCATCACACTTTTACTTCAGGCCTATAAAGGAACTAGTACTTCTTTTGCCCAAAGAGGAAGACAAGTCATCAACCTGATTTAAAGGGAGGTGAGAAGGAATCGTGCATGTTGCTACCTTCCCCTCTGAATATGGACTTCCAGGTCTCAGCCTGGACTTTTAAGACCAACATCTGCATTATGCTTAATGTTTGCATTGTTTTTCCCTTCCCTCTTGTTTTACAGATGTTCATGGAAAGAAATTTCATTATTATTTATATTGGACTTGAACTAAAATTCATTACTATAGAAATCATAGATTTTGATGGGGAGTGTCATGTTTCATATGACTGTCATATGCCTTTAAATGTTTTCAGTGTTTTGTCTCTGCTCCTCCCTTTCCTAGTTCAGCTAAGGTTGCATAGGTAGCCCTACCCCCTTCCCAGAGATGCATTGCAACAGCCTCATGGCAAGAAGCAGAAACAGTATGTTCTTTCGACCTATCGAATGTTTATTGTTGTAAGATTCTCTCAGTTTATGGAATAAACTTCACAAGATCTGCAAGATATCATTCTGATTGAGTCACTGAATGTGGACCCCAACTGAGGTTGAAGTTATCGCTATCTCATCACAACTGTAAGTTACAGAGATCACACTCAATGCTTAGATTGGACACAGAGAACATGCATCAAAAATCTAGCTTGTAG